CTTGACCGCAAGGTCATCCCTCTGCTACCCCGCAGAACAAGGGCGCGTACCTGCCCTGTGATGGGGCTGGCAGAGCTGAAGGCTGCAGCACACGTCAAGCTCGGACCGACCCCCAGAGCTCGCAAACGATGCTCATACGCACAAACGCCCGCTCGAAGGTAAAGTACGCTCTAAAAGGGCAGGCTGCTGTGGGCTGCACTGCTCTTTTTTCCAAGTGAACCTGCCCCAGCCCGCACAAGCCTACAAGGTTTCTCAGGCGCATAAATTTTGCGGATTATTTCCAATTGAATTGCATTTTTTTTTTCTTTAACTGATATTGCGAAGAAAAAAAAATATTCTAAAGATCTGTCCAAGCAAAAATATAAATGTTGGTATTGATATCCAAATTTTTGACTTGCGGACCTTGCAAACCTTGCGGGCTAGAGCGGGCTGGTCCACCAACTTTGCGGGCTGGTTCACCTCAGAGTAAAAACGGTGCAGCCCACATGTGCTGCATGCTTAGCACGCTTAGCAACCATCGTTCGGCTATTTCAGGGACAACCATAAAATGTGGTAGAGCAACACCAGCACAGGTGTATTCAATCAAAAATTCTTGGTCTTGACCACTTGACCACTGGCGTACCGTTGTCTCAACCATGTTCTATGGTCGTCAATTTTTCAGTCATTCATTTTCCTGTGTGAACAATGCCATGTATTCTGGATAGGGCGTAAAGTATTGAGCTGCACCTCACCCCCTAAAATCGGTCAGGTAGTACGGGCACGACTCCTTCCCTTAAGGATCGTCTAGAAAGAACGTCCGCTTTTCTCAGATTCGTTCGGCAAATTACCGGAGCCAAGAGCCCAGCGCCTGCGAAACTCAGGGTAGGCCACACGGCAGTGCACGCGTGCACTGCATGCAAGATGTTGCCGACCTACCGGGCGCTATCGACGTGCATTCCTGACAGTACCTTCACCATTGCCGGCAGGTTGCACCTAAGAGGTCACAGTGATACTAGCAGCGTTCGAGCCCGTCTCTAGTTGAGTGGCCATTACTCATATCGCAAGATAAGTCTGCAATAAGGAGGACCAAGGAGAAAGGAGTTGGGGGAACCGGGAGGAGGGGCATTCATTGGAGGCTGGATGAGGAACCTAACTCGGAGCAGGAGAAAGGTGAGCCCGAAGGGGGCTGCTTGCCCTGCCACTTACTCACCGTCAGAGCTAGAGCCACCCATCAACAGACCGCCTGGGTTGGCCAACTCGCCCTCGTGGAATCGTAGGTTACGAGCAATTAGAGGGGACGGGGAGGGGCTCTGAACTTAGGCAAAGGCAAAAGCAGAAGTCGCGTAAAAGTTCTAAGAAGCAAAATTATTCTCTTAGTTACACTACAAACAGCTTATACTGAATATTAAAAGCAGAACAATACAGGGTGGGTTCTGAAGGTTGTAAGTCGCACTTTTTTTCTGCGCTGTGAGAGTCGCTAAAAAGTGTTGAATGAAACAGAATAGTCTCTCATAATGTTCTGTTTAAAAATCGCATGATAAGCTAGTCCGAAGTTGACACTACAGACGTCATTTCACTGACAAACTGACTAACAAGCAGAGTTTAAGCAGTAAGCACTTTTCAGAAGAACTTGTGAGAGGCCTTGTAAGGCCTTGCACAGGCAATGGGGCTGGAGGCAGAACGTCCGGACCAGCCGGGGCGTGGCACGTGACCTAATGGCGCACATTGTGCCGTGGAAAGCAGGGGCTGACCTAGTTAACACATGGGGAGCTTTCAACGCCCCCGGCAAAAGAATAGCCGCGGTCGGACCCGTTAACTAAATACCAGACTAATTAATTCAATTAGCTTAGCGGCAAGGTCGGGCGATAGAGGTACCCACCAAGTGCAACGTGCAACACGCCTAGCGGGCTTCAAAAGTTGTCGAGTAAATTAAGTAAACATTTACAAATTTGGGCTTTTGTCCTTGCGTTAAGGCTATTAGGCTGAAACATGAAAGCTCCTGCCATTTCTAAAACGCATTATTATACTCAGAGTACGCGGGGGAAGTCCTCGCACAGCAAGCACGGCAGAAGAAACTCACAGAGGTGTGCCGTGTGCCGCAGAGCAGCAAGGTTAAATTTGGTCGCAAACTTTGCAAACCAAACTAAGTTCGTGCATGTGACATCGCGGGAGAGTGGAGTCCTGGGTGAGCACTGCGAAAGGACAAGGTGGGTCGCGGCGGGTCGAGGTCACACATTGGTTCAACGCGATACGCGATAGAGTTTGAGGGCAGCCCCAACGGCCAGGCCCAACCACTTGCCTGCGCGGCAATTAAAACTTTATCCCTTTAGTGTAAGTTTCTCTTCTCCCCGCCCTTCCAACTACCCCGCCAGAGCGGTGGGGCACGATGGCGACCGGCAGCTCGCGCGGGTACGGGTCTCTTTGTACGAGTCGGAGCCATTGTTCAACCGCAGAGAGTGCCCAACCCAACAGCGTCAGTTGTAGAAGTCCATTTAGTCGAACTAATGTAAAACGGAACCCGCACAAACAATATGGCACGCCATAGGATGTCACCGAGAGGAAGATGCAATACAGATTTTGTGGAGACGTCATTAAGATACCCTAGAGGCTTTTTGTAGACAACCTCATCGGGGAAGGAGAGACATCGTCGAGCAATTGCCGTTCGAGAAAATATCGAAAGAGTAGTAGCCGAGTAGGAGCCGGAATCGACCCAGAGACCTTCTAATCACTGGGTCTGCGTTTGGCTATAGCTGACACGTATTTTTTTTAGAGGAGGTTAAGGTTGAATACACTAGACTTTAAAAAGTTGCAAGCTTTGCTACCATCGAGGTACCACCCGGTAGAGCCTGGTTAAAGA